CCCCCAAAGCCCCAGTAGATAGTTGTATGTCATAGCTGCACATTCTTCTAGTTGCTGTATGTGGGACGCGGCCTCAGCATGGCCGGAGAAGCAGTGCATCGGGGTGCGCCCAGGATCCGAACCCGGGCCCCCAGCAGCAGAGCGCACGCACTTAACCGCTAAGCCACGGGGCCAGCCCATCTCCCTTCTTTCTTAGTGTGGGCACGGCACCCCCATGGGCAGCGTGGGTAAGCCTCTGATTCCAAGTTTGTAAAATGAGGGTAATGATTCCTGCCCCAGAGTCATTCTCAGATGGTGAGGTGGTGCCCAAAGAGAACTCTGCATCCTCGGCCCCTCACCTAGAGGAAGGCCTGTTTGCACGTCTGTCCCCGCCCCCCCATCCCTGCTGAGAGGCTCGGGCAGCCACCAACACGAAGCTACCACCCGGGTCTTGTGTTGAGTCATGAAAGCTGCCACGTGGGGCAGTGCGTAGCCTGTCCATGCTAGATGCTGTTGAGGGGGCCTGGGGATGTCTCCCTGGGCCTCAGGGCGTGGGGTCACCTGTTCCCTTTGGCCTCTGTCCTCCCTCCAGCAATGAAGAGCTGTCTGCAGACCCAGCTTCCCCTCTGAGTGCCAAGAGGAGGATCCTGTCCCGGTCAGCTGTGCGGTCTCATCAGCCTGTGGCCAGGCCCGTCTCCATGGGGCTCTCCAGGTGTGTCCTGGGAGGGACAGGACAGCGGGGGACAGTGGTCCCGGGGTGGGGCCACGCATCTGCAGGGACCAGCCAGGCTCCATATTGGCCGGTGCTGTGCCACTCACGCACCTGTGGCCTCTCTTTGTGGCCCCTCCTGTGGCTCTTCGATGAGGAAGTGCTGCAGCCCATCCTGAGTCAAGGGCATAGGGATGAAGCTGCAGGCCACGGCCTGCCTAAGGGTGAGCTGCAGTGTGGAGCCACCGCTCCTCGAGGCTGCCTCTGTGTGCCTACCTCTGCTGCAGAGCCCACCAGCAGAGAGCCAAGCTGCTGTTCGGCACGGCCACCCCTTTGCTGGATCTTTTCTTCTGTTTGACTCCACACACACCAAAAAAGAATTAACCAAACCAACAAAACTAGTAAAGATACTCATCTGCCAGCTCGTGCGTGTCGGTGGCATTTGGAGCCAGAAGCCTCAGATGATGTCAACCCCTAGACACTGTTGTCCTTCAATCAGACCTGCCGGGGGTGTCTCCCTTCTTCCCTCGGGGGGCCCAGCAGATGGCCTCTTCTCAGCACGGGAGCCGGGACCTGGGGGGCCCTGGGGCACAGTGGGGGCAGCGGGGGCTCCTGCCTGCCACCAGGTTCTGGCGGCGCCTGGCTGAGCGCCTCGGGTGTGGGGAGACAGCAGTGGCGGGGCCCACCGTGGATCTGTGCCTGCAGGAGGGGCGTTCCTGCCGTGGAGCCCGAGCCCGAAGTGGACGAGGCGCCCGTCCCCGACCTGCTGGGGAGCATCCTGTCAGGCCAGAGCCTGCTGATGATGAACGGCGCCGACATCGTCATCCACCGGGACGGCTCCCTCAGTGCCAAGAGGGCAGGTGAGGAGCGTCCGCACGCCCGCCGTCCCCACTGTCTGGGGCAGCGCTGCCCTCCCTTCCCGCGCGCTGGCAAGTAGGAACAGCCATGGGACTCGGAGTTCGCTCCTGAGTGGCGAGTGAGAGAGCTGCCACTAAGCGGGTCTTCCGCTCACAGAAGTGGCAGCTGGGGGGGACAGTTTTCTCAGCTGCTTTTCTCCATTAATTTCTCATCCCTTTCTGAGCAGAGAGTATGACTGGTAACTTAGGTGGTGGTGGGGTTTCCAGCAGCCCGCAGACCCTCCTTAGCCGTAGTGGAGCTGGCGTGTCTTCTCACAGGCCTGGAACCAGCCTCCATGGAGCGCCCCACAGATCTGGGCCTGGCGGGGTTTTGGGGCTGAGGTGGGTCCAGCCGTAGAGGATAGGGCAGGTCAGGCAGGGACAGGGTACTGTGAGGTCAGGCTGCACCTCTTCCCCACCCCTGTGTGTCTGTGACCGGCATGGGCACCTTCTCACCACCAGTGGTGGAACCGTAAAGCAGAAGGGAAAGTGTCTGCGACGCAATAGTGAGCCGCAAGCCTGTCCCAGGGCGGCTTTGGGCCGGAGAGAGTCCCGCTCAAGGCGCCACTGAGAGGAATTGAAAATGCTCGGTTTAACTGACTCATTGCCCGCTTTAGGGGAGGGCGTGGGGACTGATGCTGTTTGCGTCTTTGCCTTTTAGCGCCCAGTTCTGTTCAGCGGAACTCAGTTGGTCCATCCAGAGAGGGAGAAGGCCCTGGGTCTGGGGACCACCTGCAGCCCGGTGCACCATGCTCAGGAAGGGGGCTGCAGAGCGTGGGGTCGCACTGTCAGGGCAGGCCTGCCCCACGCCCCGCCCCGGCCACCACCTCCTCTATTCCTGCGCTCACGTCGGGGACGGCTGTGAGACTGGCCTCCTCAGGGACCTCTCGGTCGGGTCATGCTCAAAGCTTGTCAAACATCATGAGGCCTGGCTTCAGACAGAGCGACAGCCCCCAGCTGAGTGGTGCTGGCGGGCACGCTCTGCCGCTCAGATTCGTGTCCTCTAAGGTCTCAGATCGTAGCTCTGATTCGCAGGCCCAGAGTGCCGTGCTAGGACAGGCCCCAAAACCAGCTCCCCGGAGAACTGACATCTCCCAGCTACCCAGGATACCAAAGATCAAGCGAGATGATGGCAGCAGCAGACGGGTGGATGCGGCCCCTGCCGGTGGGCAGTGTGTTGAGATCCCCAGCTCCTGCATCAGCCGGCTGACTGGCAGGGAGGGCCCTGGGCAGCCTGGCCATGGTGCCCGGGCGGAGGGTGAGCCCAGCAGCAGGGGCCCACAGGAGCCCGGCACGCACTCAGGGGGCAGCTCCCAGGCCCCGACCCCACTGGGACCCTCGAGGGGCAAGGGTGTTGGCTCGACCTTTGAGAGCTTCAGGATCAATATTCCTGGGAACATGGCGCATTCCAGCAGACTCTCCAACCCCGGCTTCTGTAACACCTTCCGGCCTGTCGACAGTAAGGTGCAGAGGAAGGAGAACCCCTCGCCCCTCTTCTCCATCAGGAAGGCGAAGCAGCTCAAGAACGAGATCTATGACCCCTTTGATCCTACGGGCTCCGATTCCAGTTCTGTGGGCAGTAGCCCTGAGCGCCTCGGTTCTGGTCTCCTGCCCTCCGAGATCACGCGCACCATCTCCATCGACAGCCCCAAGGCCCCGCCGCAGCAGACTGTGCGCTGCGTCACCTCCTACACTGTGGAAACCACCTTTGGGCCGGAGCCCGAGCCTTCTCGGGGCCTTTCCTCAGGCCTGCTCAAGCTCCGGGGTGAGGGGACCGCCGAGGGGGCCTCTGACACGGAGCATGAGGGGCTGGGCAAGGAGGAGCCGGCCCAGGGCCAAGGCCTGGCCGCCCAGGCGCCAAGACCCTCCCCACTGGAGCCCTGGGAGGAGGAGGATCCGCCCCGCAGCACATTTTTTGGCTCTGAGGAGCGGACAGTGACCTGCGTGATGGTGGCGGAGCCGGACGTCCCACCCAGCCTGGATGCCCTGCAGACAACCACCCACAGGATCGTGGAGCTGCGGTCCCCGTCCCGCTCCCGCTCCACATCCAGCTCCCGCGGCAGGAAGAGAGCCGAGAGGAAGCCGGCCGCTGCTAGGGAGCACAGGAGGACGCGCTCAGGCTCCCGCTCCGGCTCCCACTCCGGGGACAGGAGCTCGCGGTCAGTGTCGCCACCGGTGGGTGAGGACCACGCCAAGAGGCACCGGTCCAAAGCCAGGAGCCGCAGGTCTTCCAGTGACGGCTCCAGCAGCCACGAGCGAGCCAAGCGGAGAAAGGCCAAAGACAAGAGCGGGGCGAGGCGGAGGGCTGCCTGGGGCCGCGGCCGGCGCAGGTCCCGCTCCCGCTCGGGCAGCCCTGGCAGCTCCTCCCATGAACGCCGTGAGAGCAGGAGGAAGAAGAGGAGGAGGTCGGGGTCCAGGTCTTGGGGGAGGGAGTGCTCGCCCCCCAGCAGCCTGGAGAGAGCCCGGAGGCACCGGCACCTGAGGGAGAGGAGCCACGAGCGGCCCCGAGACAGGCGGGGCTCCCATGAGAGGAGGAAGCGCAGGTCCAGGTCCCCGAGCGTGGAGCACAGGTCCCGGGAGCACCGGCGGTCTCATTCCCATGAGAAGCGGCCACGGCCCCGCTCTCACTCCCGCTCCCTGGAGAGGAAGTTGGCCGTGAAGGAGGCTTCCCCAACGCCCCCTGCCCAGGAGGAGCCCAGGCTGGAGAGGGAGCCCCCAGCCAGACCACCGGCTTCAGCTGGAGTGGAAGCTTCTCCGGAAAGGGCCGAAGCCGACAAGGCCCCTGCAAAGGCCACCCCTGTCCTGGAGGTGCCAGCCGAGTGTCCGCCTGAGGACCTGGATTATGGTGACTCCGTCGAAGCAGGGCACGTCTTTGAGGACTTTTCAAGTGAAGCCATCTTCATGCAGCTGGATGACATGAGCTCCCCACCCTCTCCAGAGAGCACGGACTCCTCCCCAGAGCGAGACTTCCCACCCAACCCTGCTGCGCCCCCAGCCAGCCAGCAGCATGACGCCAGCCTGGCCATGGCCGTCATCAGAAGGGAGGTGTCGCTGATCCATGGTGAAGACGCTGTGCAGCCCCCGCCCCGGGCAGAGGGCTTCCAGGAGAAGCACTCGCTTGGGCCAGATGCAGCCGAGGTCGCTGCAGTGCCTGGCGCCCTGGGAGGCCAGGCTGTGGGCGGGACGCCTATGGGGAAGGAGGAAGGCCCCCCTCAGACCCCCCTGCTGCGGGCTAAAGCCCTGGTGAAGAGGGTTACCTGGAACCTCCAGGAGGCAGACAGCAGCGCCCCAGCGGAGGACAGAGGCCTACGTGAGTAGGGTGCTCCCGTGGGTCCTCAGGGTGGTGCGTGAGGACGGCGTGGAGTGGCCACCAGGGGATCTTCTCTCTTGTCACGCTGGTGGTCCAGGCCATGGGGCAGGGTGGTCCTTGCTGCTGGGTTGCTTTTCTGGAATTTTCCAGCCAGTCTTCTGGCCCAGGGTGGCCGCAGAGCACCCACCTCCCCTGTGTTGGCCCTCAGGGACGCCACCTCACAGGCCACAGAAGCCCCAGGAAGGGGCCTGGGAAACAGGAGACGTGGACCCCGCAGCAGCACTCCAGCAGGCGTCCTTCTCCGAGCCCCCGTCCTCCGGCTTCGCGCTCCTGGAACCTGGCTTCTCTGGCGCCCACCCTTCTCAGGTGGGTGCCCGGGCCACGTAGGCTGCTCCTGGCTGGGGCGGGGGTCCTCGTGGCGCCACCCCGACTCGGCCTGGGCTATTAGTGCTCGGGGTGGGGTGGGGAGCGCGTGCTGGGGGCTCTGCCCACGTCGGGGCTCTGTGCTCAGGAGCTGCCTTCTCATCCAGGTTTATAGCCCCAACCTGCCTCCCACCCCAGCTCTGCCCTCAAGTGTCCCACCCTACGCACCGGTCAGCCAGCCCACGGTCCAGTTCATCCTGCAGGGGAGCCTTCCCCTCGCGGGCTGCGGGGTGGCACAGAGTCCGGCTCCAGTGCCTGCCGTCCTGACCACCGCCTCAGAGCCCGCTGGCCACGTGGCCAACAACTTAGAGGAGAGCACAGCTGCTCCTAGGCCAGCCTCGGACAAGGCCAAGAATGAGGAGGTGAGCCGCCCCTCCTTCCCCGGGGGCAGCCTCTCCCGGCTCTGCCCTGGCCGAGCAGCCCTCCAGGCCAGGTGCCCACGCCCGTGCTCTCGCCCCTAGTACATGAAGAAGCTGCACGTGCAGGAGCGGGCGGTGGAGGAGGTCAAGCTGGCCATCAAGCCCTTCTACCAGAAGAGGGAGGTGACGAAGGACGAGTACAAAGACATCCTGCGCAAGGCCGTGCAGAAGGTGGGCGTGGGCCAGCGGGCCCCACGTGTGCATCGCCGCCCCCTGGGCGGTTGTCTTGAGGGGCGGGTCCGTGCTGGCACGGACTTTTAGGGTGTTGGTGAGTGCCGAGGAGGGCGCTTCGGCCTGGGGTTGCTCGGTCAGGGCCAGGGTCAGCATTGCTGCGTCCTGACCGCAGCCTCGGGCCAGTCTCCCATCTCCCTGTAGCTGCACCTGGTAGGTGCTGGGAGGAGTAAGCGTGGGTGTTTTCCAGGGGCTTAGAACAGCGTCCTCATTACTCGTTAAATAGGCCAAGCGACAGAGCACGCTGAACATACTCGCTCACGGGTGGGGAAGCACGACCTGAGAGCTGGACGGTTCTCAGGCCCAGGGTGGCGGGCTCAGATCCATGACACGCTGGCCACACGTCTCTGCGAGGTGGGCACAATGGGCACATGTGCATCGGGCCCCCCAGTCCTCTGTCCCTCATGATGCAGGCCCTTGGCCACTGTGGTCTCTGTGAGTGTGGGGTGTGGAAGGACGTCAGGTAATTGTGCCTCTCCCTTCCCCCAGATCTGCCACAGCAAGAGCGGGGAGATCAACCCCGTGAAGGTGGGCAACCTGGTCAGAGCCTATGTGGACAGGTACAGGCACATGCGCAGGCACCGGAAGCCCGAGGCCGCGGAGCCGCCCGCCCAGGGTGCCGAGCGCTGAGGCTACCCGGACTGGGGGCTGGTGCCTGGGATGGTGGTGGTGGCGCTTACCCAGATCCCTAAGTGGTTCTGTTGGGAGTGGCAGAAGCAGAAAACTGGGGACACCCAGCACTCCCGTTTTCAGGGTTCCTGTGATCACACGTGGTCTGCGTACCTGTCTTGCTCACAGTTTAAAACTGGACTTTTTTATATGTAAATTACAGATAAACACAGTTTCCATTGTGTTCTAATTTATCAAAAATGGATTCTCTTTAGAAACTTCTCGATTGGGTCAGTACTTGAAAGGTGAAGCCTCTGGGGATCAGAAGGGCTCCCGCTGCAGCCTTGCGTGTGCCTGTTTCTGGTCTGGAAACTCCCTCATTGCTCTGTTCCTTTCATCCTGTAAACAGTCACTCGAGTTTGCCCTCGGCTCCACCACCTCCCACGAAGCAGAGCACAGTGTTGGCGGATTTCAAAGACTGGGGCCGGCCCTGGGCAGGGGACAGAGGGCCATCCCTGACTGCGGGAGCCCCAGTGCCACCCTCCCGGCACTCCTGGCAGGAGCAAACGCCTGCTGTCCCGAGGGCATTTTGTATTTGTCCAGTAGAGTTTGTCAGCTCTCAATTGTGTAGCCTGTCCCTTCGTTGTGAAGATGGAAGAAAGCAGGTGTGCACAGGAGGCCTCAGCGTGGGGGAGCTGTGGGGTGGCCTCCCTTCCGGGGCTCCCAGGAAGTGGGGTGAGCCTCCCAGTCGGCAGTGCCCCCCAGTCCCAGCCCTGAGCCCGCCCCTGGTCAGGACACCAGCACTGGGTCTGGGGTTCTCTTTATTGGATCAGGGTGGGGTCCAGCCCCGGCCCTAGGCGGGCTGCTCCACCTCCATGAGGAAGTGGTCAAGAAAGTGCTCAAGGTCGTTGTAGAGGCTGTTGGAGCTGGACAGGCAGAGGCCCAGGCTGCTGCTGTCCAGCGAGGACACGCCTTCACGCTGCACGCCCTCCAGGTGCGCCCGGCACAGCCACGGCTCCAGCTGTGGGGAGGGCGCCGTCAGGCCAGGCAGGGGCTGTGTGCAGCCTCGCCCACCCTGGGCCTGCACCTCACCTTCACCAGGACCAGGCTCTTCTCCTTGGGCCTCCTGGCTGACAGGTCCTGCCCAAAAGCCAGGTAGATGGTGTAGTGTGGGGAGCGCTGGCGCCGGCGAGCCCGGAACTCCACCAGCTCTGCAGGACAGGGGCTTTGTGAGTAGGGACGGGGACAGGGGCTTGGGGGACGGGGGGAGGCAGCCCCAGAGCGAACGCATCACTGACCTCGAAAGAAGGTGCCGAAGTCAAAGATGGGAGTGTCGCAGTTCCTGGGCAGCAGGCGGGCCGGGGTGGAGGGACTGGCAGAGCCCAGGGGGCCACCCACCTCCCAGAAGACCTTGCACTTGCCCAGACGCCGGGCCCATAGTCCAGGCCCCCGGAGCTCCAGCTGCAGGCCGGGGGCCACGTGTTGCAGCAACTTCTCTGTGTAGTGAAGCTGCTTCTGGTCGGGGAGCTCGGCAGGGCTGGGGAAGGCCACTTGCTGGGGCTCTGTGGCCTCCACGGATAGGCTGGGGGGCCCGTACAGGAACACACAGCTCGGGCGTCCCACCACCTCCTGCAGCACCGTTCGGCCCTTGTACATGATGGTGACGTCCAGGGCCCCCAGGCTGGGTTCTGTGTGCAGAAGGAGCTGTGAGCAGTGGGGCCTGGCCGGACTCGCTCACCTGCCACTAGGGGGCAGGCACTGGGGGATGGTGCAGGGCGGGGCTCTGCTTCTTGTAGGGGCTGCCAGGGCTCTGGGGCTGGGGGCTAAGCCTGCATCGGGGAGGAAGGGCTGAGTTGGCACCTGGTCCCCCAGCCCCTCCCTCCACATGTCCCCAGGCTCCTCTCACCTGTCATCTGGGCTTGGGGCTGGGGCCTGGGGCTGGGGGCCGCCTCCACTGCCCATGGCAGGTGTGGCTGCCCGGCAGGGAGCTCTGGACCTGAAGAGGATGACAGTGGGAACAGCTGTACTGGCCCAGCTGTGATCAGCACCATCCCTGCTGGACACCCCCTCCCACCCTCCCTCTCTCCCCAGGGACTTTGCTGTCCTGCCTGCCCTTCCCCTTGGCAGAGGACAGCCCCTCACCAGGAGCTTCTGGGGGGATCGGATCCATCCCCCATGTAGCTTCCAGCAGATGGTCTTCCAGGCTGCTCTGCTGCAGAGCCTGGAGCAAGAGGTCCTCAGCATCGCCAGCTGGGCTGGAAAGAGGGCTTAGGGCGCAGGGCTCAGGGCTCAGCCTGGCCAGCCCATGCCCCGGCCTCGCACCAGCATCTCCTGCCAGGCCCGGCCTGAGGAGCCCGCCCTGCAGGGGAAGGCAGTGCCAGCATAAGCAGCTTCCAGCACCAGGGAGAGGTGGCAGCCCCAGCAGGAGACAAGGAGGGCAGAGCAGCCTTACCATGGTTGGTGGGGCATCTTCACGGGCCTCCTCCTCCCCCTGGTTAACGCCTGGACCTTCTGAGGGAGAATGGGGACCTGAGACTCCGGAGTGGGGCGCCTGGGTGTGAACCCCTGGGTGGCCCCTTACAGCTGGACTGCGCCTCCCCTTCACTGGCCCCATCAGCTTCCTCCCTGTGATCCCCACCCCCTTCCCCAACAACCTGGCACAAGCCTCTCCCAGGCTAAATTCTAAAACTGCAGATCCGAGCCAGCGGTTGTCCCCGGACAAAACCAAGTTCCAACACCCTTCGCGCCCTGAACGTCCTGCTTCCCTGCCGGCAGCCCTCCCCCGGCGTTCCTCACCTGCCCGTCCCACCTCGGGGCTGAGCGCGTACACCTTATGCGGGTCGGTGGGGTCCCCAGAGTTGTCTTGCAGCATCACAAACCGCTGCGTGCTGCGCAGTGCGCAGCGGAAGTTGGTTTTCCAGCCGGCGCGGAGGGCGTTCTCGGAGGTCGGCGGGTCACCTCCGCTCGGCGGCCACCTGCCACGGGCCACGGCCCAGGCCTGGGGAGGGGAGGGAGGGGGTGGGCCTGGGGGCGCAGGTCGGGGGCCTGGGCCGGCCCTCCTGCCCGGGGCGGGGCTGGGGTCCCACCTTAAAGATGCGGGAATCGGCCTCGCCCAGGTCCTTCCGCGAGAAGTGCTTCCAGGGGACGCGGAAGTGCGTGCGGGCCGCATCCAGCCACCGCAGCCCCTCATAGCGGCCGCTGCTGACCTCGCCCAGAAGCCAGTCTCCGAACAGCACGCGCGAGGACCCCCTGCGGGCGGAGCAGCCAGCGGGGTCGGCGGCGCGGGCGGCAAGGTGCGAGGGGACAGGCACCTGGGGAGCGTGGGCCAGGCTCTCACCTGTCGGGAGGCACGGCCATCGCTCCTGCAAGGACTGGATGTGGAGAGGCTGGGCGTGCCCTCAACTGCGAGGGATTGTGGTCACGGGTGGCAATTAGGTGTCGCCACACTAGCGTGGCCCAGTTGTTACAGGTGATGGGGTCACAGGTGTGGGTTGAGGGCTTATAGGCCACAACGTTGCCCAGGTATGGATTTGGGGGCAAAGGTGGCGATGGGTGTGACAACAGATGCGGCGGGCGCGCACACGTGCGGTCACAGGTGTTGAGCCAGCGTCCAGGCCTGCTGGCTGGTCGCAGGCTGGACCCTGCGAAGACACGACGGAAATGGCTAGGTGGAGGTCGGCCCAGGGCGCCGGGAAACCGAAACCGCCGTCGCAGGAAAACGAAACCTAAGCCGCGAGGCGGGGCGTCCGGGTGGCGGGCGCCTCCGGGTCCCCGAGCCACCCAGCCCCCTCCAGTCCCTCGTTCCGGACCCGGCTCCCCGACCTTCCCCTGGCCGCGCGTCCCTCGCTCGGCAACCCCCGGCCACGCCCTGTGGCTGCCCCTGGAGCTCAGCGTGGGGAGAGTCCCAAATACCTGGGTGCCGGAGCCGCCGGGCCGGGAAGTTTCGTCTCCCCGGGGGAGCGAGAACAAGCGCTTTTATGGAGCGAGCCCGGGGGACGGGCTAGGGCGGGCCGGGGGCGGGCCGGGGGCGGGGTGGGCCCTCCCAGCTCCAGGTGCTGCGAAAAAACTCGTGCGGTCTGTTCCCCGAGCCCCTGTGCAGTCTCTCGGTGGGGGCGACAGGCCTCGTCTGGGGACAGCCCGAGGGGAGGGCGGGTCGCGGAGGGGCGACAGGAGTGGCCAGTCCCGCCGGCCTGCCAGGCTCAACCTCTGCGGGGACCAGTCACCCCTCTTCCTCCAGAAGCACCCCATACACCAGGGGGACTGCGGGCTCCGGCCAGTAACGAGGGTGGGGGAGGCAGGGGGCCAAGCTGGGGACCCCATGAACATGAAAACAAAACCTGGCCCCAAACAAAACCAAGCACTTCTTTTCGTGGAATAGCGGGTAACCGGGGCATGGAACGAGCGGCAGATGTGGCGTGTGGTGTCTTAACCATGAGAATTGCTCAGACAAGAAGATGTAAATGCCCTCGAGAGTAAAACATTTGGAAAGGAATTCATGATGCCTTTCATTAGGAGAAACACCGATGACTCGTGAGGGACAGTGTGGTGGCAGCGCACAAGTCCACCCCTGAGGAAGCAGACGGAGGGGGGCCCTGTCCCCCACTTGGTGGCCCTGGTTCCCCCACAGCCTCCGCCGTGCACCAACCGGCCGCCACCCCGCAGGCACAGTCCGGGCGCCTGGGTCGGGCGCCTCGCTCGGAGCACTTGGTGTTTACTGCCCCAGCGTACCACACTGGCACACAGGCTGTGACCCCCTGGAAGGTCCCAGGGACTATGCCCTCCCAAATGAGTCTCCTTGAGGGTGCCGCCTCAGCCTCCTCCAGGCAAGACCTCCGTGTTTAGTCGGGAGGGCGAGTCCGCAGTGCGAGGTGCCCCCTCCTCTGGCCGTGGTTAGACCAGGAGAGGAACTTTCTGGCCGCCAGCTGGCACTGAGCGTGGGAAGCTGCGCCGGGCGGGCGCAGCTGGTGGTTTACGGGAAGCGGCGCCCGCGCTGGCGGCAGGGGGACGACACGGCCCGCCCTTCCCCGCCCCCACGACCCCCAACACCCCCCCTACCCCCCACCCGCAGCGCGTCTTTGAGGACTCTGTGCGCGCGGGAGCCAATGGGCCGCGCCGTGACCCCCCAATCGGCGGCCGCTCTGGGGCAGACCCCAGGCACCCCTCGCCCGAGATCCGAAAGTGTCATTTTATTTTTCTCAGTGCAGTGGGGGACAGCGGCCGAGCGACTCGGGGTCCAGACCCGCGGGCGGTCGGGGGTCGCGCTAGACGTAGGTGGAGTCGCCGGGCGCCTGGTCGGGGGCGCCTGCGCCGGGGCCCGCGCCAGCGCCTTCGTCCTCGCCGCCGCCCTCGCTGTCCGAGTCGCCCGCGCCGTTCGCCTCCGAGGTGGGCGCGTTGAGGACCACCACGTCGGCCTCGGCGCCAATGTCTTCGCCGAACCACACGGCCTTGTAGCCGCCCTCGGGCCGCCGCTCCTTGGTCAGAATGGACCTCACCTCCGCGGGGCCGGCCCCGTCCTGGGCCGCCGCGGGGGACTCGGGGACGCGGGCGGAGGGCACGGGGCTGGGGGGCGCGGGCTCCGGGGGCTCGGGCGGGGCCTCGTCCGGGGTGGGGCCGGGTGTGGGGCTGGGGGCCGGCTCCCAGTTGGTCTCGCGGTCTTGAGTGAGGAAGGCCTTGTCAAAGCCCCTGGGCTGGGGCTCCTGGGGAGGGACGGGAGGGAGCGTCATCCAGGACCCTGCCTGGGCTGCAACCCCCTGGTGCCCTCCCCAGAGACAGGGGTCTGCGCTGGTCCGCACCCTTTTCTCTGCCTCTCCCTGCTCTCTCTCCATCTTTCCCACTATGGTGTCTACACCCCATCTCTCCTCACCTCTGCTCTCCATCTCCCCACTGATGGCTGATTCCTGGTCTCCTGCTGCCTCTCCACCTCCCCTTCTATCTCCCCCTTCTTCACCTCCCCTGCTCCCTGCATCTCCCCCCTTCCTGCATCTCCTGGCGCCTTCCATCTGCTCCTCCCTCTATCTACCCCTCTTTCCATCTACCCCTTCCCTCCATCTACCCTCTCCCTCCATCCTCCACTCCATCTTTCCGTTGCTCTCTGTTCTCACTCTCACGTCCCTGTCTCTTGGTCTTTCTCCACCTCTGTCTGTCTATTCGTCTCCTCTTCTGTCTCTCGTCTGTCCCTCTCCTGTGCTGTCCAGCCGCCCGGGGCCTCACCAGAGCTTTGCTAGCACAGGACTTGCATAGGTGGCCGTAGTGCTTGTAGCCGAGGATGGTGAGGGCAATCAGAGCTAGCAGCAGCAGCGCGCCCAGCACACCGCCCACAGCTGCCATCTCCGCTGTCGAGAAGCGCCGGTCCCCAGCGTGGCTGCCATCCGGCCCGACACCCCCTGTGGAGGTGCTGCCTCCTCCAATCCCGGGCGTGCCTGCTGGCGACACCACTGCCCACTTGCTGTCGGCACTACAAGTGCTCACCAGCTCAGCCTGTACCAGCTCAGAACTCCCCGAGTAGAAGCCAGCCTGGCCGCCTCCCGGAGTGAGGGTTCTGGAGAGTGGGCAGTACTGACCCCCACCCCAAGGAGCTGTGTTCCCAGGGTCCCCCAGGGAGGCCAGACTGCTGAAGGGAAGGAGGGGGGTGGGGGTCAGTGCCCCCCAGCCCCAGGTGGGAGGAAGGGGTCCAACACCACAGGAAGGGAGATGAGGGCAGCGCTGATGCCGGTGGAGTGGACGGCCCTGGGAAGTGTGGGATTCGCTGAAGCCAACGTGTGGCCTCTGCCCTGCCCTCCACTCACCTTTCCCGGTTTACCTCCTCAGGGCCCCCAGGACCTGTCTGTCTCTGCCCAGAAAGAGCAGACCCCGTCTTGGGATCTCATGGTCATTCTGGGCCAACCTGGGGCGGACCCTGCCCTCCGGTGACTCCCAGGACCACTCAAGTCATGAGTCAGGGAGCATGAGGGTGACTCTAGGGCAAATGGGGGTGCTACCTGAGGGCTGGGAGGTCCTGCTGAGCCCAGGGGCTGTTGGCTGCGAGATTCCTGGCTTCTGAGTCTGTGCTGAGCCCCCGCTGGGTGAGGCTGATGGAGGGGAGGTGCTGATTTCCGCACTGGGGGGCCCCCCAGGCGTGGTCGAGGCAGGCGGCCTCAGAGTTGTGCCTGGGGGGGAGTGTGGGCCAGTGTCCCCCCCAGCGCTGGTCATGGAGGGTCCCTGAGAGGGCCCGGAGGGCCTGGGGGTTTCTGAAGTGGTGCTGCTCGAGGGCCCAGCTGTTCCTCCAGCCTCTGGGGATGTGGAAGGACCTGGGGGGTCTGGGGGCCAGGCACAGGGCTCAGCTTGCCTCTGCCCCCAGCATGCCTGTGGCAAGAAGCCCCCCCCGAGCCATCACCGGGGACCCCTGGAGGCTCACCTGTGGGGGTGGGGGTGGGCTCCTGTTCTGACACCTGTATCTCCACCAGTGTGGTCGCTGTGCCTCCAGTCGCCGTGTTCGTGGCCTCGACCTGGGGCAGGAAGGGGGCTTGTCCCACCTAGGCCCCGCCTTAACTCCCACCCCTTAGAGATGCCACAGGCCCCTCACCTCTGAATAGAAGACCCCCGCCTGCGTCAGTGGGTTGGCGACCAGCACGGCCTCCCCTTCCATTCGGAAGTCAGAGTTGTTGGTGATTCGGTACGTGATGGCCGAGTTGAGGTCCTGGACACGGCCCCGGTGAGTCCTGGACCCAGGCTGCCCCCGTATCCCCCCAACCCACCCACAGAAGGGAGGCCAGGCAGACCCAGGGACCAGGCGGTGCCTACTGGGAACTCGGGGTCTTGGGCCTGGATCCTCAGAGCCTGGGAGGGGGTGGCTGCGTCCTTGACGAACTCGCCGACTCCTGAGCCCAGCACCACGGTGCCGCGGTACAGGCTCTCGGGGAAGTAGGGCAGGCTCCCAGCAGCGTCTAGGGCCTCCACTGTGACCTGGGTCACCGAGTAGCGGGCCTGGTCTGCCTGCTCCCCCTGGGGGTGGGGGAGGCGGCAGTGATCAGTGGGTCCTCGAAGGGCAAGCCCTGCAGCCTGAGGCTCAGGAGGGGCCCGTGGAGACCTGGCCAAGGGACCTACCTTGACCCACATAAGAAAGGTCTTGGGGCTGGGGACGCTCTGGGTCATGGTGAGGTTGCCCGAGTCAGCGTCAATGGTGAATATGTCCTCGTGTCCTGGGAGGACGGGGGTAATATTTGGCCCTGGTCCCCTCTGGAGGCCTGAGGTCCAGGGTCCCGGCTGGCTCTGCCCATGTGGCCGGTCCCCCTGGGGCTTCCTCTGCCCACAGTGGGGGTGGGGATGGGGCCGAGGTGTTGTATGGAGAGAGAAGCTGGGGACCCGGTCCCCACTCACCCCCTATAATGCTATAGATGATACGCTGGTTGATGGCCCTGTCCCCGTCCACAGCGTAGATGGGCCCTGGATGCAGGATGAGGGGAGACAGCTGCGGGAACGGGGATGGGAGGGGACTCCGTGGGGCTGGTGCAAGGGCCCAGCTCAGTCCCTCTCATTCTCCCTCAAGGAGGCCTGAGATGGCCCCTGGGCGGGCCTGCCAGAGGTGTCCAGGTGGCCGACAGGATCAGTCATCACGCCCCTTAGATCCGTCACCATGAATCAGTTTGCCCCAGGATATGGATGGATCTGAACAACACGTCTCCAGAGGCAGCCCACACGGGGGACGGAGGTTAACACAGGGCCCTGGACTGGGCCTCTCGCATACAAGGGGAGGCCCTGGAGGCCCCACTGCCTCAGTGCGCCCCATGGCGCCAGCGGGTACAGCCAGCCTGTCAGAGATCAGCTGCCTCTCGGGAGCACCATCGCGGCCCATCCAGTCCTCCCGGTGTCCCAACCACCTCATGGGGCCCCCAGCCCTGCCCTGAGGACAGTGGGCCTGTTCCCCTCACTGAGTTTGTTCACTGCTCACGCCCACGGGCTGGGCGAGATTGGTTTACGAAGGAGAGTCCACATTTGTTTGACAGTCACAACCGAATTTGGCCCGGTGGCACCAGCCCCCACCCCCAGCGCCGGCCCTCCCTGTCCCCGGTACCAGTTGGTAGCTGGTGGGGACAGCCCCCTGGTACTGGGCTTCGATGCAGACGTAAGAGTCTGTGTAGGAGCAGGGCAGGAACCAGGGGGGCCGCAGATCGACGGGCTCCACCTCCAGGACCAGGGTGGCCGTGGCCGTGTGGCTGGGTGTCACGTTCTCTTCCCGTGTGTCCTACAACAGCCAAGACCCTCGGATCAGGTCTGGGAGCCTGGGGGTGGCGGCAGCTCGGATGGGGACCTGCGCGTCCAGGACTCGGGGTGGGTGTGGCCTGCTCACCCGCACCAGCAGCCGGAAGGTCATGTTCGGCCACCTGTCAAGGTCCAGTGTCCGGTCCAGCTGCAGGGCAGGGAGGTTCACTCCCACCAAGGAGAAGAAGACACTGGCACCCTGAGGAGGTGGGGAGGCCTCAGCCTGAGACTCTGGGGGCTGCAGAGAGGCAGGGGCGCCCAAGGTGGAGGGGTCTGAGTTGGGGCAGGGACTGGGGGCACTGACCGGGGTCACTTCCTCGAGGGTGTAAAACAAGATGTCGTTTTTGTCCAGGTCCTCGGCCTGCAGTTCCGTCTCTGGGATGACGGTAGTGTTCACTTTAGCGTTCTGGGGGACAGGGGGGTTGGTCTGGCCACACTCCTCACCCCCATGGCCAACACATCCGGCCACTAGCCCTCTGCCCTCTGGCCCCTCACCCCAGCTCCCGATGGCCCAGTGCCAGCCCAGATGCCACGGCCCCTGGCTTCCTTCACACTCACCTCGGGTACCCTCTCCACCCTGACCACAAAGGGGAACGTGGGTGCATTGTCATTGACATCCAGCACAGACACGAACACCCTCAGCTGGGTCACCTGGGGGGACGGGAGGTGGTCAGCCTCCTCACATGGTGCCCGCCCCAGCCGCCCTGGCTCACCCTGGGTGCTAGAGTGCCCGGGGGCTCCTGCTCAGGAGGGGTTACAGACAACGAACAAGAAGGAATTTGTAAAGCACAGAAGGTGGCGAGTGCCCTGGAGAAAATAACTCAGCTCCTGGGGACACAACCAGCAAAATCCCAGACGCGGAAAACGGCAAAACCATCCAATTTCTTCAAACGTAGATCTCAAAGGGAAAAGGAGAGAGAAAGGGGACCAGCAGACGGAAAAAGACTTAAGAGAAACTCAAGCAGCTGCATCAGGCGGACCCTGCTTGGATCTTGGTTCAAACAAGCAGCAGTCAAGACCCGTCTGTGACCTGGGGGCAGGATTCAGACGCTGGAGGTCACACGATGCCCGCAGTCCCAGTTCCCTCAGTGTCACAGCAGTGTCCTGATGATGTTTCAGAGGAAGGGTCCTTATCTTTCAGAGAGTCATCCTGAGATATTTGTGGGTGGCGTGCTGTGATGTGGGGGTGGGGGCGCCCACGGGGCTCACTGCTGAGCAGGCAGGTGCGTGGGGCAGGCGGTCAGGGTGCCTCTCCGAGGAGGGGATGGGCGAGTGAGGACCAGAGATGGTGAGAGGGAGGCAGGTGCGTATCTGGGAGAGGGCACAAGGCCGCCGAAGCTGGGCGTTGGGTCCCTGCGCCCAGCCTCGCCCACCCCGGCAGTGCATTTGGCTTTGACCCGGAGTGAGAAAGCAGCCATGAGAGGAAGTCCTGGGCAGGACGTGCGGCTTGCTTTACTGGATCTTCTTCTGCCATATGGAGAGTGGATTGGGGTAGGCGGAGCCAAGAGGGGAGCAGGTGAACTAGTTGGAAGGTTCCAGAAAGGAGATGCTGGTGGCCAAGGCCCAAGTGGGGCACGGAGGTGGGGAGGGTCTAGCTTGAGGCAGATCCAACAGATTTGCTGATAGAGGGACGTGGCGGGGGGAGGTGAGGACCTAGCCCTCAGGGTGGGGCATCTCCACCGTGCAGGACCTCGGGTTGGGGGCCTCTATTGGGGGTATGATGTTGGCTGGGCTGGGTTTGAGAGTCTGGGGCTCAGGGCAGAGTCTGGGCTGGAGGAAGTGTGGGTGTCACCAGCACAGGGTGACACTTGACAATACACCACTGGGTGAGGTCACCAGGGAGTGACCCTGGACCGGGCAGAGCAGAGGGCAGAGGTCCAAGCCCAGAGCGTTCTGACGTCACAGGGTAAGAGTATGACGTGGGGGGATGCCCAGGAGGTGGGGGGTGTGGGGGCAGGACTCACCACGGTGTCACCCCTTTTGCACTCCAGGAGTGCCTGCAGCAGTGAGTTCTCCTGTGGGGGTGGGCAGGTGTCAGGAATCACCTGCCTGGCTGGCCACAGCACAGCGTCCCCACTTCACAGGTGAGGAGACTGAGGCCGAGGGGGCAGGTGCTCGCCCAGGGTCCCCATCATCCATGCTAAGCCCAGAGGGCACCGGGGGCCGAGGCAGCTTTGTCACCCCAGGGCCCCGCCCCCCTCAGGCCAGCCCTCTGCCAAGCCTTGGGGCCCCGGAGGGGTCAGTCAGTCCCTGCCTGAGGGGCGCAGAGCCCTCAGGACCCCTGGGCAAACTGACACCCAAAGGCCCCCAGAGAGCCCTTCTCCGGGAGGGAGGGTGGGTGTCCGCTTGGGTCCCGTGGGGGGTCAGCCGCCCCAGCCACCCCCACGGGCATGCCCCATGGGGGGCCTGCCAGCCACACCTCATAATCAGGAGTCATGTTGAGAAACAGCTGGGTCCCTTGGATCCGAAATGCGAAGAGGGTGGACGAGGATCCAAGGGTCACCTGCTGGTCGTCGGGGACGTAGATATCCACCAGGGGCTCGGTGACATTCGTGTTCTCCTTGACTTCAAAGAAGTTCTGGCCCACAGAGCAGACTAGAAAGTTGGAGAGGAAGGGTCGGTAGCGCCCAGACCCCTGCCTGCCGCCCAGCCCCACCCGCCACAGCCCTGAAGGTACCCTGGGCCTGGGCCGCGCCCACGAGCAGCAGTGGCAGCAGCAGGGCCCAAGCCCCCATCTCGGCGGCCGACAGCCGCAGGAGGGTCTGTGCTGGTTCGGTGTCCAGGACCCTCTGGGCAGCCGGCCGCCGCTGGCGCAGTCTCTGCCTGGGCGACCTTCGCTCCTGCCAGGCACCGCCCCACTTTATGATCCTTTACGACCGACCGGCCTCCACCAAGGGGCCTCCCGCCGGCCGCAGGCCAGGCCTAGCCCACTGGCAGGAGGGGGCCGCCTGGTGGTTACCCGGGCCGGAGCTGGGCTCAACCCACAGACACCAATACAAGAGACAGAAAGGAGCTCAGAG